ATATCCGTATACGGATGTTAACTATGCCATATTACAAAATACACACACATAGATATTCTCAAGTGGATATTTTTGAATTGAAGGTAAAATGAAAGTAGTAAAAAATAAGAAGCTTATGTGAAGAGGAATTATTTACAATCCATTGCTTTAAAAAAGAAAATACTTTCATTCATCATTACAATGGGAATGCATGTATGTGGGTGTGCATGAGCTTTGTTAGTTAGTCCATGTCCCTAATCCTTAATTGTTATTATTCTTGATATATTTATTATTGTTTTATTTTTTTACCCTTCAACCCGCTGTGGTGCAGGGTATTATGTCTTTGTGCATATGTTTGTAACAGGCAAAAGGAAACGAGATAGACCCATGGTTCCTTTTGAGAATATGCATAAAATCACTTTCTAAGTCGATTTACGCATGCCCGTCTGCCCGTCCATGTATTTTTGTGAACAAAGTACAGGTCGCATTTATGATCCGATTTAGCATAGATCACTTATATGGCCCAAGGACGAACTCTATTGAAATTGGGAAAAATCGGTTCAGATTTAGATATAGCTCCCATATATATTTTCGTCCGATTTAATGTAAATGGTACACCAAAGTCCCTACATATCTTTCGATTTGCACGAAATTTGGCACAGCGTAATGAATTAGGTATGGTATGATGTGTGTTAAGTTTCCTGAAAATCGGTCAGATTTAGATATAGCTCCTATATATAGTTTCGTCCGATTTAATGTAAATGGTTCATCAAAATCCCTATATATCTTTCGATTTGCCGAAACTTGGTACAGCGTAATGAATGAGGTCTATATTGATGTGTATCAAGTTTCCTGAAAGTCGGTTCAGATTTGGATATAGCTCCCATATATATTTTTGTCCGATTTAACGTAAATGGTGTACCAAAGTCCCTATATATCTTTCGATTTGCCCGAAATTTGGCACAGCGTAATGAATTAGGTCTAGAATGATGCGTGGTAAGTTTTGGGAAAATCGGTTTAGATTTCTACATATCTCCCATATATATTTTCGTCAGATTTTAGGTCCCTATATATATCCTTCGATTTGAACAAAATTTGGCATAGCGTACTGAATAAGGTCTACTAATATGTGTGTTAATTTTCGTGAAAATCGGTTCAGATTTAGATATAGCTCCCACATATAGATTCTATTTTTAACAACGCGGCGTTCCGAATAGCGTGTATCAATTTTGCTATAAATCGTTTTCCATAAATTTTCCCCACGCAGACGGCTCTAAATCTGCTCGAATGAAATTAAAGTTAGGATAGGTTGGAGAAAGAGGGAACATAAACATGCAATTGTTATACCCAAAGTGGTGAAGCTACTTTCCTTACTGGTTCTTTTATAATTCTCTATTTCTGTCATAAAAATAGTTTAATAGTAGAAATTGTATTTACGAATTTATATAAATCTAGATAATTCCGATGCACATCATTTCAAAGCATATAATCATCTCATCATATCAAACAATTACAAATATGTTTGTGTAGGTCTACGGAATTATACTATTTTTATGTAAGGTATATATGTTTTATCGAAGAGTTGGTCATGTGTGGTGTATCAGAAGAGGAGTTGCCCTACAGACGCCATCATCGGATGTTATGTTGGTTTCATAAAATATTACTAAGTACAATCAACGGATCAAATCGGTTATTTATTCGATTTAAATTAAATTTACAAATTTTTTAAATGTTGACAATATAAGAAAAAGTAGACTAACGGATCCCTTCTTGGACTTGATAAGGGCAATTTAAGGTAAAAATATAACAATGTTCAAAGTTTCAATGAAACAGGATATTCCGTTCGCTTTATATGAGATTGAAAATTTTTCAAACCTTGGACAATTTTTGGGGAGGTACTAGAAGGAATGGTTTCATAATTTCCAATATTATACAGGTATAATTAAAATATTAGGTTGTGCAAAGTTTTGTCCAAATTGCATAGTTCGCACGATATTATCAAATTAATTGTCAGCAAAATTTGGACAATTGTTTGGGGGAGGAGCCAAACGGAATGGACCTATATTCCTCATATTCGATTTAAGTTTGGAAGAAATTTTAGGATGTACAAAGTTTGGATAAGGCAGACAGACGGACGGACATTTGTAAATCGAATACAAATTATCAGAAACTTATTTGGTCCAAAGAGATATGGGGTTTAATACCTTATTAGTCATAAGGCTGAGGGTATAATTACGGATGTAGGCAGTGTTGCCAAAACTTTGTTGAGGAAAAATGCTAGAAAGTGCTAAAAAGTTTAAAAAAGTGCCAGAAAAAAGTGCTAAAATTTATAGAACAAAATTGTTGATATTTAATAATGAGATATTCATCAGAGATCCCATAGTCGATTTAGCCATGTCCGTCCGATTGAGGTCGCAATATTGAAGACAGGGCTTTGGGATTTTGCACATACATTGCTACTACTCCTATTACCCAAAAAGGACCGATATATTCCATTTAAAATACCCCAGTATTTGATTTTTTAAGCTTTTGGGCACATTTTTGAATCTGAATTGCAGTAATTTTGTATTTTGGGTTCTCCATGTATAGATAGTCTTCTTAGTAAAAATTATGAATATTGGTCCACTTTTAATGGTTGTCCTCATAAACACGTTTTACAATCGCATTGACTTTAATTTGATAGTTTAAATTCTCGTTGAATAAAAAATCTTTTATTTAACAAATATATGTTTGCCGAAATTTTTCTATTTTGGTCCTTATTCTGACATAATCCTGATATAAAGGGATGCGCTCGCATTTTCTGTACTCTAAAGTGGTTATAACTTGGTTTCATATTATTTTTAGAAAGTTTCAACGTAATTCATGTTCATGATTTTTACATCGCTCTCATATTAATTTGGTTTTTCATTTTCCCAAATAAGCAATCTACTAGACAATGTCATAGTCACCACATGGTCAGGTACCATTTTTTAAGAAATTTGGAATGCACGGCACATGCTAGATAGCATTGGAAAATCAAATTCACCGCGTGAAACATCGGGAAAATTCAATGCGTCTATATGAAATCGAAAAACGGGAAATTTTTTTGGATTCAAAACTAAATTGTTAAGAATTTCTAAAAAATAAATAAATGCTAAAAAAAAGTGCTAGGTTGCATATCAATCGATTTGGACGAAATTTCGCATAGCGTACTGAATTATGTCTTGAATGATGTGTGTTAGGTTTCGTCAAGATAGGTTTAGATTTAAATATAGCTCTCATATATGTTTTCTTCCGATTTAATGTAAATGGTGTACTAAAGTCCATGTATATCTTTCGATTTGGACGACATTTTGGCATAGCGTACTGAATTAAGTCGTGAAAATCGGTTCAGATTTGGGTATAGCTCATATATATATATATATATATATATTTCTCCGATTTTATGTAAGTGGTGCACCAAGGACCCAAAAAATGGCCGATAGGCACACAACACACTGAAACCTGTGACAAGTTTCGCTGCAATCGTTTATGATTTAGATAACTCGAAAATATAGTTTTGTCCGATTTTGGGTAAATGATGCACCAAGGACTCAATGTTAGGCCGATTGCCAAACAATTTTGCACAGTGTACTGAATTAGGTCCACATTGACGTATGCAAAGTTTTGTTGAAATCGGATCAGATTTACGGATCAGATTTGCACCAAAGACCCAAAGTTAAACCGATTGACACACATTTGCAAAACGTACTAAAGTTAGTATAACATAGCGTAAGGAAAGTTTCATTGAAATGTTAAGTCGATTGGCACAAAAGATTGCACAACGAGTGTCCGATTGAGATTTGCTTTAAATCGGTTTACGTAATTATGGCTCATTCTCTATCTATCCAAATGAAGAGTTTAGAATAATTTACAGAATGACATGCTTATGGATTGATCTAAGTCGTTTTATACTTCGATATAGATCACATATTTTAGTTCGTCCAATTTCATGTCCTTCGAAAATGCGACATCTGTTAGAATGCATCTGTTAAATATACCCAAAGTGGGCCCCGTCCGACTTTACTACTTTTCCCTACTGGTTTACTTTACATTTGAGTAGAAATTTTCACAGGATCGAGTTAAGTCCAGGGGAATCTATCACAAATTTTTCATGACGTTCCCTGAGTTCGCCAAAGAAATGACACAAAGACTTTATTTCGTCTGATTAATCACCTTAAACACCATTAATGAACTTTTCGTGAAAAAATTGCCTGCTAAGCACTTCCTTTTTAAAAATATAACAGGAAATATAATTTAGCTGATGAATAGGTTTTATGAGCAAATTATATTTCTCATTATCATTGAAAATATGACGCCTAAAAATGGTTAGCACTGTCTTCTTTTTTGTCTTAACTCACATTATTTTTATTATTAATGTCCGACCTTCATAATTAAAGCTGATCAGTAATCGCCTTTATACAGCTTAATTATTCTAATTAATTATTTCTTTTTATTATGAAAAATTTCAGACAGCCAGTCGGTCAGTCCGCCATGGTGCTTAGAAACAAAAAAACACGTACATCTATCATAGTTGTCAAGAACAAAGGAAACAACAACAACGACAACAACTGAAATACAATAAAATGCCATTTTCATGTCCTTACGTGACTCTCTTAACACACAAAAATTGTACGAAGGCGAACGAACAATGAAATGTTTTGCCAACAATGCTCTCTGGAGAACAATAATTTTTTGCAAATCTTTTAATGTTCAAATAACACAGAGGCCATCATCAGCATCATCATTGTCGTCATAAAATAACAACAACTAAATTCACACGAAAAAAGCAGAACAAAGATAAATGAAGCCAAGCAAGTGCACAGCAAACATGAAATGTCCCATCTTAAGTGGTTCTAACGTCAAAATTTGTTAATGTACTCGAGAATAGAGAACACCAAGAAGCAGAAGACGAACTCAACAGAACTGAATTGAAAAGTGGCATGCTCTCCTGCATCTTCAATGATTAGAACAAAAACAAGAACTAGAAGAAGCAGAATACCATGTTTTCCGAACACAAACAACGAATGAGTAATCGAAAACACCAACAGTCACCAAAAAGTCTGAAGAATGTCCTGACCTGCCTACTTGTTACAATACTGCTGTTGTTTGAAGGACACGGTATAGGGGCAACACCCATAACTAGATTAAGACGACAAAAGTCGGAGCAGTACCAACAGCAGCATCAGCATCATCTAAATCACAATCTTCCACAACAGTTGCTGCAGCAGCAACAACAACAACAAAAGTTTCCAGAAAAAAGTACTTCGGATTGTGAGCACAAAAGTTTGGTTGAACTCATCAAGACTAGTCCCATAATACTTAAAGCTTTGGGTTCCCACATATTTAGTCCGACTGAAAGCAACAACTACAACAAAAACAATAACTACGATGAAGATGTTGATCTGCCTGGCGGACATAGTGACGATGATGTTTTATTATCGTCCTGGCAAAGTGAACGAATTCAATTTGCCAGATACAAAGCGACTTCATCATCGTCATCAGCAGCAACGTCATCGTCGTCAGCATCATCATCGTCGTCTGAATCCTCATCATCATCATCGTTCGGTTCATCCGCATATCCAGCCTCCCAGTTGAATGCAAAAAGTCTACTAGAAGAGCACATAGCGCAGACCAGACAAAAGCCAAACGGGCCATATTCCCTTGACATGATGACAGCAAAAAGTGACGCCATTCTGTCCTATTCATCCCTGGATAGTGATGCCCTTTTAATAACATTAACACCGGACACCATTTACAAAGGAGCTTCGCTTTTGAAAACGGCAACAAATGCCGCAGTTACTCCAGCCAACACTCGAAATGCAGGTAGTGGTGCTTTTGGCAGTGGCAACGGCAGTGGTGGTGGTATCAATTCTGCTGATCCAGTTGATGCAGCCAATGATGGTGACACATTGTATTCATCGTCGGAATCTGCGGTTGAGGGGTAAGTGCAAAAGCTTAGATATCATTATTTTGTAAATGACTTTTGTAAAATGCAGATGCAGAAAGAGGGATTTAGGGATGAACTTTTAATAAGTTTTCAGGATTTAAAGAAAACAAGTGAAAAAGCGTTAAGTTCGGCCGGCCGAACTTTGGATACCCTCCACCATAGATATACTAAAAGGTAGTTGAAATGAAAATGTATGGAAAATACCAAAACCATAATGTGAACCATGTTCCAGAAAATGTTGATTTCATCCAACCTGTGCCTATCTTATTATTCTTCCAAACTTAGTTAAGGTTCGAAAATGTGGACTATCGGTCCACTCCCTCTGATACCTCCCACACTAGTGCTAGGTCTAAATGCCGGTTATAGTTCATGTATAGTTCATTATCGAACCTTACGTTCTAACTTTATCTCGATATCCTCCGCAGGTTTAATGATTACGACAGACTCTTAGAACCAAACCCAAAACGCGGAACAAATTAGATAACTATTTTAATATAAAAAGGGGGTTTATAAGGGGACTACCCCAAAAAGGGGGCGAATATAAATAATATTTGGTAGGGAGATTTGTTACCATATACGACTACAAAATACCAAATAGCAGCGAATTCGGCTGAAAAACGCGGTCAAGAACCCCAAAATACGGAATATTGGGGGTACTCTTATATGGGGCTACCCGAATAAATGGACCTATATTCATAATTTTTTGTGGAGAAATTTGGTACCTGTTAAGAACTCAAAATACTAAATTACAGCCTATTCGGTGGAAAAATACGATCAAAACCCCCAAAATACCGAAAATTAGAAGGTGCCGTTATATGGGGGCTACCAGAAAAAGTGGACCTATACTCATAATTTTTTGTGGAGAAACTTAGAACCCAATAAGAACCCAACGTATCAAATTTCAGCGAATTCTATTGAAAAACTCGGTCAAGAACCCCAAAATACCGAAAATTGGGGGGTACCCTTATATGGGAGCTATGCCTAAACGTGGACCGATATATCCCATCTTCGAACCTGCAGACAAAAGACAACCCTATGCAAAATTTCAGCACCCTATCTCAATTCCTTCAGAAGATGGCGTGATTACAACAGACGGACGGACGGACATGGCTAGATCGTGAATATATATACTTTATAGGGTCGGAAATTAATATTTCGATGAGTTACAAACGGAATGACAAAATTAATATACCCTCCATACTATGGTGGAGGGTATAAAAATGAGATAAAGGGAAGAATTTAAGGAAATGAATATCCTTTAAGGTATTTACAATTCCCAGTTCACTTGCAATACATGAGGATTTTTATACCCTTCACCACATGGTGGTAATTGGTGCATCAAAGTCCCTAAATATCTTTCGATTTGCACGAATTTAGGTATGGCATACTGAATTAAGTCTAGAATGATAGGTTCATGTTAATTGTATACCATGTAATCAATTCATGTCTGATTGAGATTAAATTTTAAACTGTGCAGCATACCAAATAGCATGTGTCAAGTTTGCTTTAAATCCACTTAAAAAATTTAGCTAAGTTTGCGGAATGACATGTGTACGGATTTATGTTAGTCGGTTTAGATATAGATGTAGATCACATATTTATGTTCGTTCAATTTAATGGCAATGTTCCTTTAAAGAGGTCGATGTCTGTTAAGATACATATGTAGAATATATATCTTAACAGTGGTGAAGAGTATCATAAAGTCGGCCCAGCCCGACTTTACTATTTTCCTTACTGGTTAATAATAAATTTGTGGGTTAAATTAAGATTTAAGATTTTTAAGCAAGACTTCGACCAGAGACTACCATCTTAACAAATGCAAATATGTGGATGTTATTTTTGTCATGGCCCAGCCCGACTTTACTATTTTCCTTACTGGTTAATAATAAATTTGTGGGTTAAATTAAGATTTAAGATTTTTAAGCAAGACTTCGACCAGAGACTACCATCTTAACAAATGCAAATATGTGGATGTTATTTTTGTCATGGGAGTAGAATTACACCTCGGAACGTCTGTTCCGAACACTTTTAATGCATGCGGGGATAGAGCGAAACCTTGGAGCTCGCATTCACCACAGCTCTATTGCGATGAGATGCAATTAATGTGGGAATGGGTACATTTTTGGAGGTTGTTCCGTATTAGAACGGATATAGAGACTTTTATTCTTCTTACACCACTCGGTTCAGAACAGACCTATTTGGACCCATTCTTTTGGGGCAGTACCGCTTGGTCCCCCAGCTCCATCATGAATTGTGACATTCAGTCCTATGTAATGACCAGGGGGTAAATCGCTGTCCGAGCAAATTTGTAGCTCAACACATTACAAACTGAATGATTACCACGGACCACCTCACCATCATCGTCTCATCAACCATGGGAATGCTGATAGGCAAAGTGTTAGAGATTTCTCCAATCGCCGCTTCAGAGTCTATCCCCTCATATCCTCCCTCGGTTAGGTGAGATGGAAGATCTGAGCTCGATATATACCTGCAGGACAAATTCCTGTCGACGAAACAACGAGTTTCAAATTTTAGGCATCAAATATTCGGATATATGGATACGACAGCTATGTTCGTTGGCGGTTACGTTCTCACTGACGTCATCTGTAAATGACAGAGCATTCCATCGGCCCTCAAACCACACCAAACTGTTGTTATACCCTTCACGGCACTGTGGTACACGGCATTATGTCTTTGTGCATATGTTTGTAACATGCAAAAGGAAACGAGAAAGACACATGGTTACTTTTGAGAATATGCATAGAATCACTTTTTAAGTCGATTTATGCATGCCCGTCAATCTGTCTGTCCATGTTAAATTGTAAACAAAGTACTGGTCGCATTTTTGATTCGAATTGGATGAAATTTGGCACAGCCCATTTATTTGGCCCAAGGACGAACCCTATTGAAATTGGGAAAAACCCGGTTCAGTTTTATATATTACTGCCATATAAATTTTCGTCCGATTTAATATAAACGGTGCTCCAAAGTACCTATATATCTTTCGATTTGCACATGGTCGGTCCCGTCCGACTTTACTACTTTCAATTCCAAATACAGCAATTAAGTCGAATCCAAATTTCTTGCTAAAGGAGTATGTATCATCGGTCATAACCTATTTTTTTGGATTTTTTCTTTAACGATTTGTATGCGTAGGTTCTTCCATGATAAAACCTACAACTATTTTCGTTTTAAATAAAGTTAAATGTTAAAACAACATTTTTACCAAAATAATGGAAAATATTTACCTATGAAATGTATTTTGTATGTTCTCTCTAATCCAATTCATTGCCAATGATTTGAAACCATCACCAACACTAATTAAACATGATTTTCCAATACATCAGCTCTAATTAGGCTACCTCTCACACTCATGTTTCATATTCGATTTTTTTTTGCAGACAATTAAATGCAACCATAGAACCATTATCGTGTTTCGATGGGAATTTATTAAAAATGTTGCCGACAGATTTAATTATTTTTGGCGAATTAATAACAATGGACCAGCAACAACAGCCACAACAACATCGTCATGGTTATTCTGTAGACACATCAATGCCATCGTCGCCATCATCATCAGCATCCGTCCACCAGCAATCACAACACCAACAGAGTAACCATCAGCCGTCACAACAAACCAAACAAATCCTGAAGATCAGCATAAATGGTTTACATCGTTGGTCAGCACAATTTGAAAGTTTTATATGGACACATTTAGGTAAGTTTTGGAATATGTGCGCCATGTAGAAAATTAACTGTCTATGTCTATATTACTACAGTAAAACATATTTACAAGAATATTGTCGATGCGAATATATATCCAACGAATGAAAACTATTTTCAAAGTTACACTGCATAAAACCAAAAAGGAATTTTCCAAGATGAAGTCAAGTTTATGAAATACTACCCTATCGAGTACGAATGGTATTGGGACAACATAATTAGAGTTTTGTATGTTTGCTCCCTCCACCAGTAATCAATTTGTTATTTCGTTTACAACACATGGAATAGAGGATATATTTTTGACCAGAATGAAATTCTATTTCAATTTTACCAGTCCCGTTTGCATATTCAGATCACGATAAGGGTAGTTATTTAAGATAGAGCTGTTGGTTCGGAAATTTTTACTGAAAATGCGATATAGGTAGCCTTATAATATATAACAATATCGACAGGTACGGTTATATGGGGGCTATATCAAAACATGGACGCAGAGACCCCATTTTCCATACCAGTATTAGTTTTGGCATTAAAAACATATGAGCCAAACTTTGGCCGCCAATGTCAAGTGGTTCGCATGTTAATGAGTTTATATCCAATATTTGGGTAAATACACAAAAGGCGGTCTTTTATATGGGGGCTAACAGAAAACGTAGGCCTACGTCGATACAGTTTTGCATGGATATTTGGTACCCATAGAGAACTCCCAGTACCATATGATTGTTAAATGCGGCTAATAGACAGAAATTACATAAAATCGGGAGGTACGGTTATATGGGGGCTATATCAAAACTTGCTCTCAGACACCCCATTTCCCATACTAGTATTAGTTTTGACACGTGTTTAAAGTATTGTAAAACTATCCATTTTAAATCGATTTGATATTATAGAAACCTTACCGACTCAATATAGTAAACACCGAAATAAATACCCGCAAATGGGTATTTACCCACGCATTGGGTATTTATCAGGTAAATACCATCTCTAGGCTCTATATATGCATCGATTTAATAAACAACTGCATAGTTTAAAACATGAACCATTATTAAAACATTTCTGGAAAAATGTTTTTTTTTTATTCAACAGGAATCCGATATGAAGAAAAAAAAAACAATAGTCACTGGAAAAATTATGTGAAGCCGATATGAAAACTTAGACCAATATAGATACTGTATTTACCGTCCAATGTTTCGGAATTTATTAAAGCCTTTAAAACACCAAAGAAGAAAAAAAGGTTGTTAAGTTCGGCCGGGACGAACTTTTTATACCGTCAACAACGTGGGATACGGACATTTATGGTGTTATGTGATATTAGGTTGTTCATGCTCATAGTGTTCCAAAAATTAGTTGGAAAACTTACGGGACATGACCAATACAAAATACGAATAATGGCATTATATGGGGGAACTGGCCCAATGTTAACAATTTTTAATATTTCAAAAATTTTTTAATCTCAATGAGAATCGAAAATATTACGTTGTGAACTTATTCGTCCTAAGCGGAGAAACCTTAGTTATTTGGTACATGATTTTGATGAAATCGGATGAAAGTATCATGTAAAGCGAACAGACATAGGCTCCTATATTTGGACCATTTGCATAAAAGCGGACTAAAGGATATATGTGAGCTATATTTAAATCTGAACCGATTTCAACCAAACTTAGCATACATCAATCAAGACTTAATTCAATACTCTCTGCAAAATTGTCATAAATGCGACCTGTACTTTGTTCGCAAAAATACATGGACGGAAAGACAGACGGACATGCATAAATCGACTCAGAAAGTGATTCTATGCATATTCTCAAAAGGAACCATGTCTATCTCGTTTCATTTTGCCTGTTACAAACATATGCACAAAGACATTACACCCTGTACCACAGTGTGTTGAAAGGTATAACTACAAAATTTACGAAAAGATTTAAAATACCGAATATGTGGGATACCGAGAAAAATCGAGCGATATATACCAGTTTCAATTCCAATAATCACAGATGTAACATAAATTTAGGTTTAGAATTCCTATCTTCAATATTGCAGAAGTGTATTAGTTTGCTTTAATAAATATGTCATATCGACAGCATTTATTTCAATTTGCATGGGCTTAAAGAACACGGCGATACTAGAGATCTAATTCTGAACAGACTAACTAACTATGTGTTGAATGGACTGACAGCCATGAATAATCGGCTCAGATTCTAAATAGAATACCATTAATTAATCTATTGTTTATTTTAGCATGTTCTAGAAAATACAATTTTTGTCATTTAATTATGCTGTCCTACTTTCAAATACAGCTTCCAATTACCCTACATGAATTTGTATTTTGATTTTGTATTTGATTTTGCGACAAAAGGGAGAAAAAATGAAGGACATGTTTCACACGCATTCATGATGGTGTCAATGGTTTCGTTTCATTTGACTTTTCCCTGACTTGTGCCAATTTGCATAAGTACCTGATTTCTTTGTTTCGATTTTTTTCGCATTCACCCAACTAGTTGAACGGAAGGAACTATGCATGTTTCGATGCTACTACTCTTTCATCGGATCACTTGAATACAACAAAAAGAGAAATAAGTTATGAGTGTGTTTCATGCTGTTCCGCACTTCTTCAAAGTTTCAGTGATGCGTTAACACATATCTTATCGATTTTTTTACCCAGTATGGGTTTCAGTGATGCACACGACACAAATACACATACCCTCAGCCACTATGTGGTTGTCCTTTATAAAATATGCACATGCATAACTTGAACCATACGTATCGTGCAACATGAAGCTGCATACAAACTAACAATTGACTTCATTTTACATTCAGGGTGCATTGACTTGTTTTTCCTTTTCCATTTTATTTGTTTTTTTTTTTTTTTTTTTTTTGTTTTTAATTTTTTATCTGTGGTTTCATGTTACTTTTTTGGTTTCTATTTAATTTTGTGTTTTGTATTCTTTTGCATTGCAACTTTTGAACTGGGTGTTTTATTTAGGGCTTCATCAGTGTTGTTTTTTATTTTTTTACTGCTGCCGTTGTTGTTGTCTGTCTTTGCTTTATGTGAAAGAATGATAGAAAGCTGGAAAATTTATTGAGGGTAAAATTGAGATTTGTTGAAGCACTTCTGATTCGCGTGACTTTATTATAAGTGAATGTTCGCTCGGTGCGAACGTTTCCATTTAATTGAGAATTCCATATAGTATTTCAATTGACACATTTCCCCCCTTCGTGGAACATAAATCATCATTTGAGAGATTTAAACCTTTAATCCGATTGAAATGAGATCTTACAAACCAGGAATGCAGGTAGGTATGCTTTAAAATTGAAATGGAAATTTAGTTTAGAATGTATGGATGAGATTATTGGTAAATTAGAATTAAAGAACATTAAGCCATAACGGGGATACAACGTGAAATAAGTAGAAAATTTGTCCAGGTGTTGTGTTGTAACGTGAAATAAAATGTTGATGTACATTTTCAGTAGGGAAAGGGTACCATCTCAAAATCTGGATTTGTGCAGCATTATATATCTACAGGATATATTCACCTTGAGGTGGAGGGCATCAACATTCTGTACCTTCATATTATTGCTGTGCCATTTTAAATAGTCTGCTAGAAGGCTGATGTCTGTGGAAATTAAATACCGAATAACAGACACTTAGTCAGGAAAACTAAAAATAAGCGGGACATAGCATTTAACCTTTAACAACAAATGGAATCTATAGCAAAACGTGGATTGATATATCACATTTGCAATACCAACTATTGTGGGAGTACTAGCAATGTACACCCTTGATCTTAAGACATTTTTGTACAACCAATACTAGATGAGAATCTTACTTCTCATATGTAGAACCTAAGCAAAACCTAGACTTAACATATTAAGTCATTTTCACATAAAAATATGTAACGAGCGTGGGTGAAAGATTGTTGAAAATATCATTTTAGCTTCTGATGAACTACCTGGCCTGGCACGCATGTATCTCCGGCCTTATTGCTCGCCAGATGGGGTGGGTTATTGCCATGATTCATCAGTCAAAATCGCCAGCTACAAGTTTTAAAATTTATTTATGCGTGCTCAATAATGCAGAGAAGATGACATAATAAAGACACAAGCAAAGAAAATTATAGTAAGAAGAATGTCTATAGCCTAAGGAAGTAGAAAGATCTGTTCATCCAACTGTTGACTTACACGTGCATAGGTGAAAAACGCACGCTTGCCCACCCAACCTGTTTACCATACCAATCCAAAATAAAATTGAAAAATTGTCCATAGTAAACCCATACGAACTCATCCTAAATAATTTTTCCCAACCCCTTTTGCGAATCAAACTCTATTTCTGTCTTATTCCATATTCATATTAACAAAATTTATTCAAAACAAATCCATATTAATTTATTCTAAAAGTATAAGCAATTTTAACAACTAATTACATCATTAAATTTAATCTAGAGAACTAAAAACTATAATCCAGAACACAATTATTAAGCATAGAAAATCAAAAATCTATATATAGGTATGAAAGATCAACAAAATTGAATAACAATATTCAAGTAAATATGAGACCGATTTCAAGAAAAAATATAGTAGACAAATGATCACCTCAATAAACCATCATCCTTACTAAGCAATAACTAGCTTTGATAAATACAAAATTCGAAAACAAAACAGCAAATGATATTAATTAAAAGTATACAAATTAATGAGAATTCATATTCAAATCGCAGAATATTAAATCATAGAAAACAATCGACGATGAAACAAATTTATAAAAATATATAGCTGAAAATCAATGTAAAGCATTTATGTTATATTTATATGTGTGTATGTCTGCATCATGTTACATCTGTACAGATCAGCTGTGAGTGCATTGACCTGCGCTCATGCTGATGTACATTGCAGAATAATATATGTATGTGTGTGTAAAAATTTGATATGAAAGAAAAATTTTAAATCAACAATTATAAATATATTCAATAAGTTATTATGATTAAAATATCATCATAAAAA